TGAAGTCTGTGTTAATAAGCTCCTTTAAAGTTCTCTGAATAGCTTGGTCACGGTGAAGTTTCCACATCAATAAGGTCCAAGCTTTCTTTTGAGTGTCACATAGTTCTTACATTGTCACAGTTTATTTATTGAAACATCAGCCATAAAAATACATAGAAATTATTAACTACAGTTTTTCACCGCTTGATTGTCAAAAAACCTTTAATAATTCAACAGCCACTATAGAGTGGCATCTAGAAAACAAAATTGGATTTGACAAGGTTAAAGGTTACTGTGAAACTCATGAACTGACAACTGCCTATTATATCTATTATATTGAGAATTCGGACCATCGATTTATTATAAGCCGTTTAAACTCTAAAAGAAAAATATTTTCACAGAAACGCAAACGTTCTTCTCTGCGTTTGTTATCAAACGTTTTCTTTTCTTCGAAATAACTACATTTAATCACAATTATTTTCACTTGCAAAAAAACGAGTTTGACCTGGGTCAGTAATTCACGTTATAATTACAGCGATATTATTATGCAGTGGTCCTGTGTTATCTTTGCGTTATCTTATTGACTAACTATTTTGTCCATTAAATACTATACACTCTTCTTACGAGGGAATATTCCCGAGTGAGGCACTCCGATTTTGTTCAAATCTGGCAATTTATATGTAATCAAGGATGCTAACTACGAATATGATAGTCCATAGACCTTTCCTAGCGTTTCTCTGGAGAATCGGTTTTTTAGAAATCCCCTGGAACCCTAGCAATGTTTGATCAACATGTTGGGATTGTAGCCTGAAAATTTTGCATCAAAATGAGACGCTTTCTAGCTCTCCATGACCTTTCTTTGCAAAGTTACAGAATTTACAGGAGAAGCCCTAAATGTTCATTGTCAGCTCAGAGATATAGAAAGAAAAGGGAAAATTAATTTAGGGCTTCTCTTCTCAATTCTGTAACTTTGCAAAGAAAGGTCGTGGAGAGTTGGGAAGCATCTCATTTTGATGCAAATTTTCTTTGTATGTTGTTTTCTAAAAGTTTTACACTATATTGTGCTATACCAAATATAACTACAGAAAATAAAAATATAGAACAAAGCCATTTTTGTAACAGCAAGAAAGAAATCGTTTTTCGTATTCTTACAGCAACAACCACACAAGGGGGTTGCTACAAACATAATTATGTTCAAAGAAAAAATGAATAAGACGCGTTTCAAGAGTAACTTTTTACGACAACAATGATAAAGATTGTAAATCAAGAAATTTTTCTGCATCCTCCTTTGAATATTTGTGATAATTTTTTCTAATTTCTTCAAGTTTTTGAGCAATCACAGTGGCTGTCTGGCGAAAGTTCGGATCCCACTCTAAACATTTATCTATCAAACATTGGCGGGCCACCATTATGGCAAAGTGTGGCAGTTGCCACACCAAAAGCTTTTATTCGTTATGGGTTTTCCTGTACGACTACTTTTTTTAGAAGTTTCTTACACTTTTTAATAATTTTGCCACACCAAAAAAGATGACCCCGGCCCGGCGATGTTACCAAACTTTTAAATTCGTCTAAGCACGACGTCAAGTCAAGTCAAATTTATTTAGTCCATGATCTTAAAAACTGACAGGGTGGTGATGAAAAGTTTAATAAAGATGAACAAAGATGAGAAGATGTTTCGTCAATGCACATTTAAAAGCTCGAGAACTAAAAGCAGCTATTACCTCTCTCGGTAACCGATTCCATTCTTTTATAGTTTTTGGTAGGAAAGATGAGCTAGTGGTTTTACATGTAAATAATGGAACTTGCCAAGGACATCGATTAGAAGTTCGCTGATCGATTAGAAGATATTCTGGTGGTAAGTGGACTAACTAAGGAAAAGCGTGATAGTGCGCTTCGCCCAGTAATGATTTTATGAAACAAGATTAGTCTAAAGAATTTTCTCCTTGCAGCTAAATCTGATAACTTCAATCTCTGAATGAGAATAGTGCTATTAGAAACATAATCATTCAGTATCATGCGAGCAGCAAGTTTATGAACAGATGTTAGTAGTTCTAAATGTGTTATGAAACTACTATCATATACTACACAACAATAATCAATAATCGGTAGAATGCAGGTTTTGTAAATGTGTAAGCGAATGAACGATGGAGCTGATCTAAACGTGCGGTTCATCGCGCCAAGCATTTTTTCGAGTTTTCAAGTTGGTATCGCCATGTGAGGTCAGGGCTTAGATAAACTCCTAGCAATTTAACGTTTATTTCTTTTTCTATTTGTTTTTCCGATAAGAAAAGAGGTGAGAAATTTTCTGGAGGTGCTGAATTTGAGAATAGCATAAAACAGCACTTATCTGTATTTAGATCTATATCATTTTTTGCGCACCAATTTGTCATTATATCTAGGAGTTTCTGGGTCTCAGATAAATCGGCAAAATTTTGCAATGGCACTAGTCCAAAGACATCGTCTACAAACAAAGAAACTGTCATTGAAACAGGAAGTTCTGAAACGAGATCGTTGATGAATATGGGAAACAAAAAGGGACCTAACACACTCCCTTGCGGGACACCGCACGTAACTAGAGCAGGTTTAGATGTTTTTTAATTAACCACCACTACTTGCTCTCAATTTGACAAGTAAGACCTGAACCATACTAATAGATTTCCTTCTATACCTGCTTTTTGAAGTTTTTCTACCAATACTGTGTGGTTAACTGTATCGAATGCTTTTGCAAAATCGAAAGCAACTCCTACTGCTATTCCGTTTTGTTCTAAAATTTCACTCAACCTAATGGTAATATTCAAGAGTGCATCAACTAGCTGTTGAAGAGTTTGGTCGGAAGCCAAACTGTACATTACTGAAAAATTTTCCCTCATGCAAGTGGCCTAGTAAACATTTATGAACAAGAAGCTCAAAGACTTTGCTGATGTTTGATAAGAGCGAGATAGGTCGATAGTTCGCACACAGATTTCGCGCACCCTTTTTATGAATTGCTTTTATCAAAGCTTTTTTCCACAATGTCGGAAGACTCCTTGTTTTAATGAAAGAGAAAACAAATGGTGCAGTTGTGGTGACACAACATCAGAACATAATTTCAAAAACTGGACATTAACATTATCGATTCCTACAGATTTTTTGTTTTTAAGCTTCTTTATCATATCATTTACATCGGCTACAGAAAATGAAATTGCACTTAGAAAACGTTGATTACTATTTTGTAAATTGTTAGTTGAATTAGTAGATGCAGAAGAAGGTTTCCTATAACAACTGACGAAAAACTCCGAAAACATTTCTGCCTTATCATAATCTGTGCATGCTTGTGTATTTCCGCTGTCTAGTTGATTTGGATAATCAGAAAAAGTCTTTCGAAACTTGTTTAAGTTTGACCACAATTTCTTTGGGTCAGGAAACTGTTTTAATTTTTGAAAAGTGTCGATATTTATCCTTACGCAAAGCTGCCAAAACTTTATTCTGTATTTTTCTATACTCAACAGTTTTCTTCAAAGTTTGTTGACGTTGTAATTTACGAAATTTTTTGTTTTTTTCTCTGATCAATTTTTTGGTATCTTTAGAAGGTCTAAAAACTGGTTTACCTTTTAGTGAAACTCTCTTTGGAGACACACAAGTTTCTATACATTTTGAAAAATGATTTAAAAGTATTTCGGTAGCTTTGTTTACTTCATCCGAAAGAAAAAACGAGTTATCGATTTCTGATAACATTTTACGTAATGCGGATAAATAGCAGTTTTCATAATCATAGATAAATTTACTCGATTTTTGTGTACGATCTACATTAAATTTAAAGGTTGATTGAAACAAAAAATGTGGCAGTTTTTCTAACTCTGGAAAAACCTTAGTGAAAGGCAGATCCCACTCCTTAGGATAAAAAATGTTGTCAATTTTTGTATTTTTATGTGTAGCTGAAACACTGAAAGAACGCCTTAACGAGAAAAATTCTAGTATTTGTTTCAATCCAGGAGGTGGTACTGCCGTATTAACATTAAAATCGCCAGTCAGAACAAGTGGTACGTCCTTTTTCACATTCTTAAGCAAAAAGTCAAACAACTGATCATAATAGATTTTTCTAGATCGTGGACGACGGTATAGATTACACAATAAAAACGTACATGGGTAGGTATTTTAATTTCTAATAAAACAGTCATGGCTTCTTTTGAACATGCAATCAATGACTGTTCAATATCGTGCTTAACATAAACAACAACTCCTTGTGATTTACGTGAGAAATCACTTTGATAATACAAAAAACCCGGTATACTTAGTTCCTGATCAGAAATCGAACTATCAGTGAAGCTTTCTTGAATACAAATAACGGATGGCCTTTCTTTCAGAGAAAAAGCTTTTAGTTCATCGATGTACTTTGGCAAGTTCTGAATGTTAAGAGATATAACAGATAGAAAATTTTTTGACTCAGGAACAGAAGGAGAAATAGAAGAAGTAATGCTAGTTAAATTAGACGAAACTTCTAGATGTGCAACATCCTGTCACAAATATAAAAAATTAGACAGAGCCTGATACATTAATTGACAACCTAAATAATTTGGATGAATGCACGTCATCTTTGTGCATGATGGGTCGACTGTTTCTCCTGCTGCTATTCTTCTAATATTTTCTTTTGTGAATACATTATATAAAGGCCGAATTGTCCAAATAAAAGTATATCTCCAGCAGTTTCTTCGGGCGTCGATGACGGCTAATGCTTAGAAAAGGGAAAGTCAGTGACGTCAGAGACATCTCTGTGCATAATTTCATTGTTGTACAGTTCAACAACAGCACTAGCTATATTCAATGCAATTTTTAGCACTATGTCAATTGTTATTTTTCGAATATTTTTTTTCTAAGTAGTCAGCTAGACCCTGTTTATATCTCGGCATAAACAGCAACAAATCTCCGTTTTGGTGATCGTACAAATGCAGCAGCGGTCCAGTATTTGGAATTCCCATCTCGGTTATTTTACGATGATAATGAGCTTCCAAGTACTGCAAATTTGGATCACTCACAGACAAGGATCATTTTATTTTCTTAACAACCAAATCTTTGTTATCGGCCCATTCAGCTGAAAGCAGAGAGAAAAACGTACCATCACCAAGTGATGGTTCTTCGACAATTTTGGGCAAAAGGTTGTATTTTTCTAAATCACTCGCTGCAACTAAACGGCATTCAATACGAGCGAAAGCGCCTGCATATTGATTAGCTAAATTATTAGCTATTTCCATTAACGGTAAAGCATCGACGGCTAGAAGAAAATGCTTCTCAATATTTTCGTGGAGCTCCTCTTTTTGATATTTACTCCAGAGATCAAGTATTTTATTGACATTTGTTTTTTGAAAGGCTATTCCAGACTGGATTTCTGCTAAGCATCGATGAGCTATATCTGTTTTATCCATATGCTTTTGGCTGGGCCTTCCACTACGTGTATTTTGTTTTACAAGCACTTTGAGTTGCGATTCATAGGATGTGTCTGCTGGATCAAATGTATAATCATCAGTATCAAGTAAAATTTGGCCAACAATCAGATTTTCACCCAAGATACTTTCCAGTAAATAATAGTGTCCCGAACTCCTACTGTCCGGTCGCAATATGTCACCCAATTTACTACGTTGTGCAGCAACTAAAAATTCATTTCTATCGGTATTTTTAGATAATGACTGACCTGAGGCTATCTCGAAGACAAACTGATGAGTGCAGCTGATAAGTTCGAATTCGATTATTTCCTATTGTACAGTGGCTACAATAAAGTCTCGAATGCGCGAAGCATCGGTTTATTTTGCGGAGCGGTCAGTTATAGAATTCATTTCATTACTGAGCCGTTCCAGAATATCCTCGTACAATTTTCTTAACATGCCAAATTTACTTTGTTGCTCTATAAAATAGGCGTTAACTGACAACTGAGCTTCTCATTTTAACGTTCGTAATTGATCTACTTTAGTTATTAAACCAACTGAAAACGAGATCTAATGCTGGTTCACTTTAGCCATTATTATTAATATACGTGGAATCATGAACTAATTGCCTAAAATTTAAGAGCTCGCAAAAATTAAAACACTTTTTACCAGCTGATTACTATGAAAGTCACTCTGCTGCTTACCTGCACCGGCAGTGCCGATTGCCAAACACGTGCCATATCCAGAATGACAGGCCAAATTGCAAACCCCAATTCCAATTGTTCCACTTAATAATTCTCCTTGACAAAGAATAAATTTATCCGCGAGAAGAACTATTGCGAAAAGAAGTTTTCACGCCATCTCATGCAACGTGAGATGTAGTGAGGGACGTAACAGCTGACTTTTTGAAAAGCAAATATGAATAAAACAAAAGTATCAGTTGCCGAAAGATTAAATATTTTTATTCACTTGTGATCAATCAAAATGTTTTTGTGAGAATTTCTTAATGAAACAGAATAAATTATTCGTGTTACATGAGTAGTTCTCATCTGATGGTATTTGTTACATATATGCCCTTCCACTATTAACGGAAGCCGTCAAAATTATGATCGTTGCAAACGGAGTTTGGAGCAATATATGACTAAAATCTATGCAAAATTCTCTATCTTTTAGCATCCAAATGAAATTTTCTGATCAACCGAAACCTGAGAAGAAAGCCTTGAAAAGACCAGCAATTTAATCTGGACCACCAGTCTGAAGTAATCTCAAAATTTTCGACAGAGAAGTGTCGATCTCATTAGCTCTCTGAGAAATCTTTATGATTTGTTAAAAATTTCTTCTTATAGAACTAAGCCCAAGAAATTTCTAACAAATCATAAAGATTTCTAAGAGAGCTAATGAGATCGACACTTCTCTGTCGAAAATGTTGAGATCACTCAAGTCTCAGTTGTTTTAGAAAACTTCTGAAAATCTCAAGAAAACAAAGATTTCTACACTTTTAGCGCGACCTGCATGCAAGTCGAGTAAAACAAAGTATTTTCCGAAGGTTTCAAGTAGTTTGGTTGGATTTTGAGAGAGATATAAATTGTCTATTCAGAGGTTATTAAATATGAGTCATAGTGACCTCTTTATTTAATAGATTGCATTTATTTCAGAAGCGATTTTATTCCTTTTTACCTTCGCTGTGCGGAGCTATTGTGCATTCTACTTCATCATAGAAGAAACAATTTTTTGTTTGATAGAGAAATTAATTATCTAGATCCTGACAGAATTCGACTTTTTTAAACTAGGCCTTCCTTTAGTGTACACCTACAACATCTTTGAAAACCTTCAAATGGTTTTGCGAGTTTTAGAATTAGACAATTCTTTTATAATCAAGAAATTTGAAAAAGTGGCTGTTTCAGGACCTATATATAGGGATTCCGTGACTATTAAAGCAATTTCTCAATCTCTGTTTCTTACCTTCCGTTGGTCTGTATTCAGAAAAGTCTTTTTTGCAATAATTTATTGTATTATTCATAATATATATTAAAATTATTTAATTATTTACTATCGCACAAATACAAATTATTAACGCAATCATTTAGTTTATTTCAAACAGGTTTCGAGTACACTTCAGTATTGAAACATGGCGACCCATACTATCATAGAGGAAAGAAAAAATAAAGTATTTTTAGAAGATTCTGCAAGTATAGACCAAATATACAACGATCTTAGTGAGATTGATTTAGAAGCCGAGAAAATTCTACGAAATCGTGTTAATTACAATAGCCAACTTGTTTCTAACGAGGAAAAGCAATATTATGATCAGCAAAATTCTTCATAATGGTATCAATTAGCACCACGTCTGTGAAATCGTGGCATTTCTAATTACAAACAATCTTTTCAACCTCAAAAAGCAGTAGATAATCGTGGCTATACTTTTTAAAACAGGCTTAAAATCAAATGCGCCTCTACAAACTCTTGTGTTTACTAATTCTATGAAATCAAAATTGCACAAAGCTGTTCATCAAAATCGCGTATCTCTCCTATCGGGAGAGAAAGTGCATTACCGTTTTTCTCGTTTTCTTAGTCTTAGATAAACCTGGTAGGTGTGAGACGTCTTATTTTGTAGCTAAAAGTGTGCTCTGCAACTTCCACTCGAGGATCAGGTGGAAGTTGCTTTTGTTTTAGTGGAAAACGAGAAGCAATAGGCATTTTCTTTTTCTGCACGTATTGAAATGCATGAAAAAAGAAAATGCACGTTGTCTATACACACTGACGTAGAGGAAAGCAGTAGTAAGTTGAAAAAAATAATGTCACATTGTGAACCCTGTCCCGATACATATACACTGGACAACGAAAATGGATAAAGCTAATCGTATTGTGAAGCAACTTTCTGTTCGAATCTCACAACTACCTGCTGTATCTACTGATCCTACCTCTAGCGCACGAGATGTAAAAACAAGACGCCTCTAACATGTATCTAAGACTAATAAAATGAGAATAACGGTAAGGTATTTTCTCTTTGGGTAACAGAGATACCCTATTTTTATGTGTTGCATGTTTATTTGTCACCACTAAATCTCGATTATTTTCTAAAAATTAATATAGCAAAAGGTGGAGTTTTTTCAGTGGAGTAAGATCTCGTCATAAGTTCGTGTAATCGAAATATTCTCCACACCTACGGTTTGACCAGAGAATGCATAACATTAGTGATTGAGATTATTGTTGCAAATAATTAACTTCGTTTGTTCGGTCAACAAACGGGGATTAATCTACCAGACACGGTGAGATAAACATCACTTGACAGTTAGGTTCTTTGATCAATGTCTTTTATTATTACTACATGTGGTATTTACAAGTTTTTGCATACTGTTGTCTCATGGCGAGTTGCTTAAAAATTTCATCTACTGCATCATTCGGTTGTGATACAAAATTTTCATTTTCAAGTGAATATAAAAAATGT